GTTTGTGTGTTCTATCTAATGGTATTAAAACTTTGCCTGTAGCAGTTTTCAAAGTTAATCTTCATTAACCCTATGATGCAGTCCTGAAATACTTTACACTGTTCCAGTGGTTGGATCTAGGAGATTCTTACACGCAATATTGTATATTTGCTCAAAAAAAAGATGACTTCTACAGAAACAGTTGTCACCAAATTGTAGAGGAATAGACAGATGGTCATGGTAACATTCACATCTATGATAGAATTATTGCACATTAAAAATCATGATGGGTCTCTTGGAATCAGGATTGCATTCTAGGGTTAATAGTTGCTCAGACCACATGTTGTGACATCAAAGCATTGTAACAAAAAGTTTCAAACATAGAAGGAAAATCATGAGAGAAACAAAACTTAGCTTATTGTATTCTCAAGGAATGACACCTTTTTAGCATATAAAAAACCTATATTGTGGGATGGGTAGAAAAAGTCTAAACAAATCTATAAGCACCTTGTTTACACATAAGTCCTCAGAACTGTGCAGAAATGTAAGTTTTTAACATTTTTTCTTTGTAAATTACACAAAACAAATGTAACAAAATATGAATTTAAAATATTTTTGAGTTAAAATTGTTGAAACAGAGTTAGAATTATCATTTGGGATTTTATATGCAAGGGTGCACTCTATATCTGAAAGGTGCTGTCTGGTCCACACAGGGTTAATCATCTCTCCTGATTTAGTCTCCATTGTCATTTGCTTCTGCTTTACTCCCAAAAGAGTACACTTTTTATACCAGCAACAAAACTGTCAACATGCCCAATAATGTCTAGTACTTTAGCACTTAGCAAGCAGAATCTAGTCCTGGTATTTCTACGTTCTTCAATCCTCACTACAAATAACTTTATCATTATGCACATTTAATGAGAGTTCCCTGCTGTGTAAACCTCTTAATCACCTAATTTATCATTTCAAGCAGCCAAAGGTTCAAATCTACAACAGAATGGTACTTGAATGCTTAATGAACCTGCCTTGTAACCTTAAAATTTTTACCACTGTGCACCCTTGTAAAGTCAGCACTATCATTCTCACCTTGCCCAAAAGTAACCATTACTCTTACTCTATCAATTTTGTGTCTTGTTTCGTTAACTTTTGCTCCTAACCTGTCATTTTCCCAATTTTACCTAAACATTTAAGAATATTGGTGTCCTGGTTGATCAGTCTCTTAAGCTTTCCAAGCAGTGTGCTGTACTAATGGCAAGGCAAATAAAATTTTTAATTATATCTACTAAAATATTAAATGGAAATCTAAAGAGGTTATAGTTTCATTATATAGGTCATAGGTTAGGCCACATTTGGAATATTGTGTCCAGTCTTGGGCTAGTTGCCTTCAGAAAAACATTGAAATGTTGGAAAGGGTTCAGAGGGTCCAATAATACTTACTTCCACTCACACTACATCTATTACTTGACTGCTAGGCTTCCTTTGCCCATATAAACATTGGTCTGAATTTTTCTTGATTGTTCCAGTCATTATTCCCCACTTAATTGCACTTGGTGATATTTGTCACATGACACTCTCAACCTATGTCAATGCACCCTCTATCCTGGTATCATATATAAACACCTCATTCAGATAATATTATCACTTTTTCAAGACTGACTCAATCCCAGTCTCTAACACTAGCTCTTAGTGGGGAGAAAGGGGTGGGAGAGTGCGAGATAAGGTAAGTATTATAGGAAATACATTTTCAATTTAAGAAAATGTTAACTTCCAAAACATACTTACCTCCTAACACACTACAGCTAGATTCCCACATTGATAAGGTGGAGGGGCCAGTGACCGCCAACTACCACTAGACAACAAAGGAGGAATGGACAAGGTCTGGTTAAACCCCATGCCAGAAACTGTTACACGGGAATTCATCAACACATTTTTTTGTTCCATTGTTTTTAATCGCAAAAGAAAATCAATGAAATATCGACAATGGGAAAAAAACAAACACCAGACTGCTGTCAAAATTCTAAAAAAGAAAATGCTAACCACAAAATATAACTCCTAGTGCTAGTGTTTTGTCGAGAAAAAGTGATTATATTGTCGACATACAGTGCTTATATATAGTACCTGCATAAAGGGCATGTGAGGACCAGTGTAAAGTTTTGGAAATTAGATATTGCCAAGGGCAGTCATGTGGGGTATAAAGACTGAAGCAAGGGAACACGATGTTTAGATAGCAAAGATGAAGATCAAGAAATAGCTATAAGTGTCAATGGAGGTATATATGTTTTGGAACAAACTCTGCTCAAAAAAGGACCCAGGATGGGGCTACTCTGCTTTTGGAACTATGAGGAGACAATGGACCCTCTTCCATAAACAATGTACTGAACCAACGATGATCAAAAAGAAGAGCCACACTCAACCCAACTAGATAGAGGAGTGTCAAATAATAATGAGTAGGATCCCATGTAGGCTGGTGCCTCTCCTAGCAACATCTAGGAAAACATCCAGGGACCCAGGATGGAGAACCCCCAACTTAGCCTTCTTCTCAAAGAGTGAAGAAAAGTCACTTGACACTCTGGAGGAATAACCTCTGTCCACCACCCCAACAACTGGAAACTGGGCATGGTAAGGACTCCCCAACTCCACTATAAGTGGTAATGCATGTTGGGGAGTCCTGAGGAAGAATGCTCTGGAAATAAGGCAATAGGTGAACTGAGTTCCCTAAATTTTTAAAAGCAAACCAACCCTGATTTATTCAATCCAATGATCGACAGGGATGGGCAAGATTTCCTTATACTTTACCCATGATAGTCCATGAGTGGCAGTCCAGCATAGTACAGTAATACCACCCAGTCTGATTCTAGATAGTTATGTAAAACATCTCGTTTCTACAGAACTTGTTGCAACCTAGATGAAGTAAATTGTGTCAGTGGTTGTTAGTGCAGAACTGGTTTGATACAAGCAAACCTGCCTGGACAACACTCACCACAGAGTGGGATTCTGTGAAAATGAGGTAAGGGACCCTGGAAAATAAAGAAGAGACAATATTAGTAATGAAGATACTCACGTCTCCATGTAATCTAGCAAAAGTAGTTAAGATCCTCAGAAGAAGATACCGCCAGATCATGTAAATAATGTGAGATAAAAGTATTGGAGGAGGTCCACATACCAGCCTGCTCAATATCCTCCAGTGTGCAATTCAACTGGGCCAATAAGGACATATAAATGTGATGAATCTGAAGAGGCATGACTTGCAGAAGACTTCTCATCTCCAAAGAGAGCCAATAATAAGCAATATGGATCAATTTCCATACCCACTTAGACAAACTAACTAAATTGAAGGATCCCAATGAATGAAAAGTTGTTGTCTAGCACCTCTAAAGGAGTTAATGCAGGCAACATAACACTTCAAGACCCTCACTGGACATAACAAACTATCGAGATTCAATCGGTCATAGAAGTGACAAATAGTGATCAGATGAATTGGAGAAAAGGATTTATTCCCGTCCTTGACTGCCAGTGTCTTAGGGAAGAAGAACCTGTCTGAGTAAAGGAGGACGCAAGTAGAATGATAAAGCATCATGTGCACATGCAGTGCAAACAATTCTGACAGGTGAAATACAAAGGCTAGCAGCAACAAAAATAAACCTTAAGGGAAAGGTGATATATGGTACATGGGGCTAAGGGCTCAAGTTGATGTTGAAAAGGAGTATGTAGTGCCACTGTAATATCCCAGTTAGGTAACTGAAATGGACTTTTGGGATGAAGGACCTGAAATGACTTGAGGAGGCCAAAGAGTACTGGAAACAATAATAATTTTTGTCTCGATTATCGAGAGTTAGTTGATCAGGGAAGATGCAAAACTCTTGTCAAAGAGCCAGGTCAAAAAACGAGTTATGGTTGGCACTTCTGATTAAAGTAGGTTCAACCTTCTCTAAATACACCATTGCTGATATATGTGCCATTTTCGTTGGTAAATGTACATTGTAGGATTAAGCAAAGACTGAGACAGATACATGGTAACCTTAGAAATTAAATCACAATGTCATGCAAAGGGCTGCATTACCTCTATGCATGAAGCTTGAGCTTCAGGATGGCTGTGTATACGATGTCAGATCATGACTGCCTCAATCTGGCGCTATTAACAGGACCCGACAATGGGTTGGAACAAATTATACCTTGTACCTTGGGTAACATATAAATCAGTGGGAAGTTCTAGAGGTGTAATCCCATCCCATCCTGACTGAATGCATCTATTACCAATGCCCAAGAGTAAGGCACCAGAGACCAAAATGGTGGTAGTTGGGTGTTACAATGAGTGGCCAAAACATCAATCGTCAGTGTTCCGAACTTAGAGCAAATCCAATAGAAAACCTCACAATGCAGCATCCATTCTATCAAAAGAATTTGTTTGGGTCAAAACAATTGATCTGCCACCAATTCATCACCCCTGGAACCTGGCAAGCTAGTAGGGTGATATGATAGGAGTGGTCCCAAGAAGGAAGATCCAAGGTTTGAAAACAAAGAGACCTAGACCAAGTACCCCCTTGATGGGAATTGTAAGACACCACCATGGAATTGTCAAAATTAAGCCTGATAATTTTCCCCTTAATAAGTCCAGACCATGAGACATTGCCCTTTGAACAGCAAGAAGTTCTAAAAACATTGTGTAGGAAAGCCTCGTCGTCCATCCATAGGCCTCGGAATTCCTAATTGTTGAGATATGCACCCCATCCCTGAAGTGAGGCATCTATGAAGATATGGATCTGTGGACGAGATGGTGGCATAGGAACACCTATTGTAGTATTGTTCCGATCTAACTACCATTCCACATTAAAAGATGATGATACTGAATAAGGAAACAGGGGAATCCAGTGAATCACTTTTCATGATCCATTGGTTGCATAAAGGCCACTAACTGGAACTCTTGTGTGGTCATTTCAAAGGAATGAGGGATTCGAGTGATGCTCAGATCCCCGACAGAAAAGAACCATTCATGCAGTGGGAGAATGAGAGGTGAGTAAGAGTCAGACTGCTTGTTCCATAGCTTGGAGCGGAATGGTAGTCTGTTGAGCCCAACTGAGATACGTGTTGAAAAAGATACTCAGACCGATGATATATATTGGTGGGGTGAGAATAGATTTCTCAAGTCTGATAATGAAGCCTGCCTTGGTTGCTTCTGAAACTAGAATCTGGGTCTGATGTTCTGCTAACTGGCGAGATGGTATCAGCAGTATCAAGTTGTCCATGGAATGGTGTGTGCACTGACCTAGGAAAAAGAGGTGATGAGAGAAAAACTTGTACAATTCAGCTGAACACATATGGTGCCCATGCTAGTCTGAAGGACAGAGCCTTGAACTGCAACATCTGACCCTTGTGTACAAAACGTGGATAGTGATGGGATGCCACCGCTATGGAAACTTGCAAGTAGGAGTCTGCGACATAGAGCTTAGACAACCACAATTCTAGTAAAAAAAAACAATGCAGAGTGAGGAATGACTTTATTGTGAATCTTGGAGGATAAAGAATTGATATAAATGAGAAAGATTAATGACTGGATATCATTCTCCTGTCTTCTTGGGCACAACAAACAGATGGGAATAAAACCCTGGTAGAACTGGCATGACTCTCTCCACTGCCCCTAGACCAACAAAACTCTGATAGCTCTAGAACGATGTTCCAAAATCTGAGTATCTGCAGCAGGTTGACAACAGACTCTGTTCTAGAACCCCAAATTTCCAGGAGCAGGTGTATACTTTGAGAGTCTGAATACGCATCCACCTAGCAGTGGTTGGGTAAATCATGTAGTTCCAACAACCATGGCAGGCAAAGCATAACTATCCCTTCACATAAGCAGTAAACCTCCCTGCATGAACTACATTATCAGTGGATGGAGATAGAAGTAAGTATTCATTCTCAGACATTTCAGTTATCAAGAAAGGTGCAGGTCTTAAAAGAAACCGGGAAAAGACCCAAAACATCATACTTCATGGACCAACTGAAGAAAAGGATCCAGAGGCAGCTGATCCAAAAGTGGCCTTGTGAGAAGTCAGCAGAATAAAGGAAGGCACAGGAGAAAGAAAGTCTAAATTCTCTCCGTAATGTCCAAGATCACTCTCAAATACAGCCTCAGAGCCTCCTTAAGAAACACCACCAGACTGAATATATGTCTCCATCTCACTACGAATAAGGTCACTGACAGTTTCAACTTAGAGTGACACTTCCTCCCCCAGAAACAATAATCCTGGAATTTATGATGTATATTGGCTTGCCAACAATTTTTTTTTTTTTTAGGAAAAGCAACTAGGTAATACGAAGAATGCCCAAAGTATCTCCAATGGTCATAGGACAGAGAAACCCATTAGTGACTCTTTGTAAAAAAAACAAACGATAATATTATCTAAATGAGGTGCTTATATACAGTTCCAGGATAGAGGGTGCACTGACATAGGTGGAGAGTGTCACATGAGAGATATTGCCAAGGGCAATGAATCGGGGAATAAAAGACAGGAGCAAGCAAGAGAAATTCAGACCAATGCTTAGATAGGCAAAGGAAGGAAACCTTAACAGTCAAGTAATAGCTGTAGTGTGAGATGAGGTAAGTATACTTTGGAAAGAGAAGATTTAGAGGGGATCTGATTGAGGTGTTTAAGAATGTTAAGGGAATTAATATTGTTGATGCATTATATGTTTTCATATGGGAACCATAGGATTAGGGGACATACATTTTGGCAGTGGTAGGAGTAATTTTCAGTTAAGAGTTTTATTTTTATAACAGGGTTGTTTGCCTTTAGAACGGGTTGCCTTTAGATGTGGTGTAAAAGTAAATTTAAAGGAGTTTAAGGAAAGGCTTCATAAGTAATTGAATAATAAGGACTGGCTTTGAGTGCTCTTTTTAATAGTTTAGTTTAGTGGATGGGATAGCCTAGATGGACTAATAGGTCCCTTGTTGTCCTTAACTGGAACTCCAGTATTAGCTGATTCTTTGATTATGTCAGTTGGTATGAACATATCACAAGCAGCATTTGTATTTACAGTAGAAGTAAATAACTTTTAATTTATCTCTTATTAGTACGATTTAAAAGATATGACACATTTTTCAGTTAATATTATAATATAAAGATCTAAGTTATAACTAATAAATGCTCTAAATTTAAGATTTTTTTGTACTTTCATATACATTATCACAAAAGTACTCTAAATAAATATTTATTATACAAACCTAACATGATAATCCTTTGTCAAAAATACTAACAACACATGTAGAAAAAAGAGTGAAATTTCTTTACAATGATCCAGAGAAATTTCAAAAGTTGCTTAAATCAAGTGCAATAAAACTAAATGATTATAATTACAAAACACCAAACAAACTTATATTACTGTTAAATTTCTTAAAGCTGGATTTATGTCAATAATTTATAGTAATTTTAAGAAATCATATCATTATATAAATAAAGATTTTAACTCTGAAGTAATGCCACTGTTTATTAAAAAAAGTTTAAAGCTTTTTATTTTATTATGCTTCTAAAAGTGCATTATTTTCTTTTCAATAAATAAAGGTTTGTTCGTTT